AGCCTGGCCGTGGCCCTGACCAGGAAACGAGATTCTTGCACCCCTGCCAGCCTGTGTTCTCTTAGCCTCCCAGAGACAAGGAAATTGGAATCAAAGACCCCATGGGGATTATTTGGGTGTCACGTGGGAGCTCAGGAAGGAATTCAGCAAATATTTGGTGGTTCATTATAGCCAGTGATTCATGGAGACCAACAATTAACTGTGTACAGGGAGGGCAGAGGCCGGGGCCTGGGACATGTGGAATCACAGGCCTGCGGTCAGCAGAGGGGCAGGGTCCTGGGTGTGGGGTCACAGAGCACTGGGCAGAGCTCAGGGGAGCCAGGTCAGGGCAGGAAAGGAGAGGGCGCCCGTGAGACAAGCTATTGAGTCTTTAACTGTGCCCATCCTTTCCCCTCACATGAGAAAGGACAAGTGAACATAGACTCCCAGAGCCAGATGTGCCTTGGTACACTAGCTTCCTGGGGCTGCCGTAAAAAGGACCACAAACTGGGTGGTTTACACAACAGAAATCTATTCTCTTGCGGTTCTGGAGCCCAGAAGTCTGAGATCAAGGTGTGGGCAGGGCCGAGCTCCCTCTCAGGCTCTAGGGGAGGATCCTTCCTGCCTCCTCCAGCTCCTGGTGGCTGCTGGCAGTCCTCGGTGTTCCTTAGCTCTTAGCTGAGTCACTCCAGTCTCGGCCTCCGTTGTCACATGGCGTCTCCCTGGTGTCTGTGTCCACATCATCTTCCCTCTGTGTCTGTGTCTCTCCTCTTAAAAGGACACCAGTCATGTTAGATTTAGAGCCCACCCTACTCCAGTCTGCTTACTCCATTAACTTAAATAACTACACCTGCAACAACCCTATTCCAAAGAAAGCCATGCTCTGAGGTTCCAGGAAGGACATGGGTATGGGGAGGACACAATCCATCCCAGCACACTTGGAAGTCACTTAGTGACAATGGCTTGATTCAAAGGGAAGAAATCTGAAGCCCAAGAGCGTGGTGGCCTGTCCATCTGGGCTGCAGGCTGGTGGGAGGATCGGCTCCCTGGGGTCTCCCGCCACTGCCTGGGACTTTTGTACAATGCTGCCTGCACCATGGGGTTTCAGGGACCGTTTTCCACCTTTCCTGGCTGTCCTCCTAGGACACGGCTCAGTGCAGGGCCGTGGGCGTTCATCAGGCAAGAGTTGAGGGCTTATCCGGGTCCCATTACAGTGTGCTGTGAGGAGCTCAGCTCCCTGCTGGTCATCTGAGTCCAAAAGGCAGGGCTGTCAGTGTGGGGCCTCGTGCCCCGGGGCACATCTGCTCCCCGGTTATCAGCTCTGTTTATTTCCGACTTATCTCTGCTCTTGCGGTGTCCTGGTCCTCTGCTGACTCATTCCTGGAAACCCTTCCTTGTCGTAACAGCACCTGGGACTGATGCAATAATTCCAAACCCGAAGGAGCTCTGGATCTAGAGGTCACTGTGGCAGGAACCACCAAATCCACCTGGATCTGGACCTCGGTGTCCCCTGAACACCCGGGGCCGTCACATGCCCCCCGTACGTGGTAGGACGGGCACTGGCCCCGTATTGGGGGCAGGAGACCCAGGATCCATGAGGGGCTTCCTAGGACCCACGGCCTCCATCCCGACTCACCGGGACTCTCTGTCCTCTCCCCTGCCTCCTCCACAGTTGGTGAGTGACATGTTTGCATGGCCTAACCCCCCCTCCCCTATTTGTCCTCAGTGGAAACCACCCCAAAACACAGGAGCATCCCTGAATAGGTCACTAAGAATGCTTCCCCAAAACATCTATGCTCAGGTCCTGGTTGCTCAGGAAGGATCCGGCAGGAGGAAACTGCGGGGAACACAGAAGGAGGGGCCTGCACCCGAGGCAGCTGCAGAACGATTTGACAGCTGGTCAGCAGGAAGCTCCCCGGGGAGGCATGTGACCCCAGGACCAACCCAGGGATGTCGATTAACTTGAACCCTTCTTCCATCTGGCTCTCTGCTGGCTTGAGTAACCAAGAGTGACAGTATGAGAAAGCTGAGAGGTGACGTGGAATGTATAACCCTGTAGACGCCACATTGACTCTATATTTTCCCGGGGGTGGTCAGTTAGTGGCCCCTGACTGGAATGCCCTTCTGACCCTCACCCATCTGTGAACTCCTACTCATCCCTCAAGATCCAGTTCAGACTTCACCCCCCATGAGATGACCGCGGCGTAGCATCCTGCCAGCCCTGGTCGCTTTACATCACAATTCATGTTTCAAGGCTTGTTCTCACTCTCGGGGCTGTGGGCTCGGAGGTCAGGGACTCTGCCTGGCGTCCTTAGAGCCCAGCACTCACAGGCCATCTGTCTGGCCCGCGATCCGCACGCAGCCCGTGCTTGTCACGTATATGTGCCGATGGTCATGCATCCCGCAGGTGGGAGGTTGCAGGCCCAGCATGGGGGCCAGAGCACCTGCTTCTTGGATCCACCCGGGAGGCCCTCGCTTTCCTGGGACACCAGCTCCCACAGCAAGGGAGGGCTCCCAGGACAGTCCAGGCAGAGACGCGGCTGCAGAGGAGGAAGAAGGAGAGAGCCTCCAGCAGGCGCCAGAGCATGTTCACCCCAGGTTTAGGGGTGCGCACGGCAGCCAGCTCTCAGGGTGGGGCCGATGACTGGTGACCCCGGGGCCGGCAGCTTCATCCCTGGAACTTGAACTCCCCACTCAGGAACAGGGAGGCTGGGAAGGCTACGGGACTGTGAGCCCTGGAAGCCAGTGTGGGCATCCTCTGCCCCTGGTGGGGAGCCCGGGGTTTCTGGGTTGAGGGCTCACTGGAGCAGAGGCAAGGGGCCACATAAAGACTTTCCCCACAAATACTACCTCAATTGCTCTGGGCTCCCAAGCCCGGCTCAAGCCCCTGTCCTCTAAGATGTCTGTGCTGTTCCCACCTTGTGGAATCCAGCTCCTCCCCACCACCACCATGCCACAGCTGCCACATCTGTCGGACCCGGGGGTCCGGGAGCCCGGACCCTGGCAGGTGGTCTGTGTGTGTCCCTGGCGCCCAGCTGGGCTCTGTGGCACCCTAGTGGGCTAGGCACTAGGTGGGGGTGAGGAAACGGAGGCACAAGCGGTGAAGTGACTTGGGACCACGTCTCTCGGCCTCTCTGTCATAACTACAACATGACCTCGTCTCCCCGTCGGGGACTCTTCAAGGACAGGGATTTGTCACCTTCCTTAGTCCTTCCTCAGCCCCAAGCCCCAGGCTCAATCGACGTTAACTGAGTTACACTGAAGTCAAACACCAGGGGGTGGTCCTCTGCACTGGCTGCCCAGCAGAATTCAGGCGTCCCTGAATTACCAGCCTGGGCAGGCGGGGCCAGGTGTCCACACTGCCCCAGCTCTCCAGGTGATGCTAAGGGCAGCCAGGTGGAGACCAGGGCACTCCGAGATACTCCCTGATGGGGCAGCCTTCAGATAACTGTCCCTTCTAAGCCCGTTTCTGGGGTGTTTGCTCTTTTCCTGGAACCTGGCTGGGATCCACAACCTGGCCTGGCCTGGGGGTATTTTGGGGGGTGGGTAGGCAGGAGGGAGGGTCTGGCCAGAAAAGGTCCCACTTCCCCTAGGACGATCTTTTCAGTAACATAAACATGGTGCCATCTTTTAGCTTGGGTGCCCTCTCTCCCTCTGGGAAGAAAGCACATGTCCTGCAAACAGCACAGAAATTGCTCTGCCTTCACCCCTGCACTTGTCTTGGAAGGAGTGGCAAACCAGAGGGCGAGTGTCACCTCAAATGGATTCATCAATGGCTCACTGAGTACAAGGGGCTGGGCCTGGGGAGTCCCAAAGTGGGACACGGTCCTTGTCTCCAAGGAGTGTACAGTCTGGACCCATTGGTCTCTCGGTGAAGAACAGCTATGTGGACGAACCCTTGATTGGTTCAGGTCCCTCCAACACCGGACCCCCACCGGAGGCTACATTCGACCAGCCAGGTGCACCTGCTTCTGGGATGACACACAAAGTCCACTTTGAGGTTCTGGAAGAGTTACTGGGTATCATCAGTGCTGAAGAGATGGATAGGAGTGCCCTAGGCAGAAAAGAAAGATGGGGAACCCGACAGTCACCAGGACTCCACACTCTCCTGCTCTCACTGGTCAGCCAGCGGCGGGGGGCGGGTGCTGGGCACGGGGAGTTGAGACTTAGGATCCTGCAGAGGCAGGTTCAATCCCAGCTCCCTCAGGTCGACCAGAGTAACCTTTGACACCCACCTTCAATTTGGAGCCTTAGTTCCTCCAGAAAATTCCCATCTCATTTAGATATGCTGTTATAAAACAATTTCCAAGGTACAGCTTTCCAAGCTGAGCAAAGGTAGTGAGTTCCCATTTGTGTTAAAAATGTGCTCAGATCTAGAGAGAACATTTCTGGAAAAACACCTAAGAAAGTGTTAGACTGGACACTTCTGGACATGAGGGGTGTCTTTTGTATTGTCTGATTTTAAAAACCAACTGCATGTATTATTTTTGTTAAAATGTATTGAATAAGATTACTTAGTATATTTATTAAAATGTAGTTAACAATAAAAATATTTTGTTGCTGGAAAAAAGCAAACAGGAGAGGAATATTCGCCTCTCAAGGGTCCAGAGAGAGCCATCCGTGGGCACAGCCCACCTGACTCATGGTCGTCACCTGTCTTTTCAAGCACCCAGGGCTGATCTGGGGTTAAGTGGCCTGGGAACTTTTGTCATTAGTAGGGAAACTTCTGGACTGCTCCTGGGTGGGTTCTTGGGACTGACGCCCAGCCCCACACTGGGCCTTTACCCTTTCTTCCAGGCCAGGCTAACCGGGGCATTGACAGCCTGCTCCCTGAGAGAGAGGTGCTAACCCGGAGTCTGGAACCCACAGTTGCCCCTTGCTTGCTACCAAAACGGTAGGATGGAACCACCCTCTCTGCTTTGGGATAGAAGAGCCTCTGGGGGCTTCACAGTCTGTGCAGGGGAAAGGCAGGCGGGGCTCAGAGCCAGAGGGAAGGGCTGTCCCCAACAAACAGAATCCGGGTGCTTGTGCAAACACAGGGGTATAAATGAGTCTTCTTGGCTGACCTGGCATGTCCTCTGAGCCCGCCCGTGACATGGAGGCCAGAGTGCTGTGGCTGCTGGTGGCGGTCCTGGCCTGCGGGTTCTCCAGGTTGGCCGGGGAGTACGTGGGCCTGTGTGAGTATGCCTCTGACCGCCTCCACCCTGCAGCAGGGAGGGGCCCTGTGGGTGGCAGGGTGGACTCACATGACGAGGGGGAGGGACGCAGAAGATGCAGGCCCAGGGGCTTTCTGAGTGCTTGAGGAATGTGGCCAGGCCCCCATGTTGATTCAATAATTGCCATTTAGCAGTCACACACATCTTCTCTCAACAGCCCTACAAACTGGGTCTTGCTGTCCCCACGTGACAGACAAGAAAAGTGAGACTCACGAAGGTCCATAACTGACCAGAAGCAGCCCTCCTGGTCAGTGCTGAAACCAGGATTCCCCCAGGTCTGCCTGGCCGGCAGCCGAAGCCCAACCCCACCTCCCACTGCCGTCTTTGCCAGAGATTTCTGAATCGCAACAAAGATCTTTATTCATGGTTTTGGCTCACTTACAAAACAAGAAGGAAAGACAAATGAAAGTGATTATTTCCAGAACGTTTCAATACCTACAAACAATTTTCATGTAGCTATTACATTGCAACTCTAGATGGGGGATGTGGCTGTTCCATTAATCCAGTTTAAAGAAATCAGGGTGTGGCTTTTATTGGGTTATCTAGGGAGCCATGTCAGAGGCAGTGGCTCCCAAATTTGGTGCCCGTTAGAATCACCTGGAGAAGTTTTAAAACTGCCAAAGCCCAGGAGGCACGAACTCCATCAGCACGTCCGTGGTGGGAGCGGGTATCAACAACTTTTAGAGTTCCCCAGTGATCCCAACATGAGCAGATCGGGAACCACTGGAGTAGGAAATTATGGACTGGCAACAATAGAAGAAGGTTTAGGAGATTTTCATGATTTCTATTTTCCTAAGAAAAAATCCTGTTAGGTACTGAGGCAAAGTGGACTTTTGTCGAAATTCGGACATACAGGCTTGCTAGAAAAATGAGTATTGGAGACTGAAGGATGTACAGGGAAGATGTGACAAGCCAAACAATTTGGGGGTAGGGAGATGCAGAAAAGAGACAGAAAATAGATGCATTGTGATTTTTCTATTGAAGGTTTATCTCCTATTATACTATTCATTTTTTTTAAAAGGGAGGAGGTTTTCGTTGATAAAACAGTGAAGGGGAACTTTGGACCCCTGATTCCCATGGGCCCCTGCCAGCTGGAGGGAACCCAAGCCCATCTCATACCGACTCCCTGACAAGGGGCTGGGAGCACACCAGTGAGAGAGACACCCTGGCAGATGGCCAGATTTCCTACAGAACGCTTCTCTTTAAATATTTACATGGAAAGAGGGTCCTCTGCAAGCAAACATTTGTGGGGGTGGGGGTGGGGTCACATCCTTTGAACTCAGGAGCTGGGGGAGGATGCAAACTCGCAAAACGAAGCCAAAATGACCCGGCTTTGTTCCGGACAGCTGCAAACCAGTGTGCCGTCCCGGCCGAAGACAGGGTGGACTGCGGCTACCCCGAGATCACCTCGGAGCAGTGCAACAACAGGGGCTGCTGCTTCGACTCGAGCATCCCCCGGGTGCCCTGGTGCTTTACGCCGCTGCGGGAGACAGGTGAGCCGGCCCCCGGCACCGTGTCCTTTCCGCACCCTGCAGAAGGACCTCCAGGTCCCCAGGAAGTTGCACACACCTGGGCCCTGAGCAGGACACCCACAGGCTGCCCGTTAGTGGAGGCCTCAGTCAGAGGCTTCACGCCCATGACAGCCAGTGGCTGTCCCCCTTGTCCTCCGCTGTCCCCTTGCCGAGGGATTTGTACAAAATACAAAAGCAATCATTTAAAAAATGTGTTCAAAGTCGAGGTATTATGCAGAGGGAACTAGTTTAAAAACTATCCTGGAAAGAAACAGAAAATACAAGGTTTGGAAAGCAGGGCCGACATTCGAGGCCAGGTTCAGCAAACCACTGAGTCTCTGTCATTTGTGACGTGCCCTCGGCAGATGGCGGATAGTGGCAGTGCTGGGCACGGTGCCCTGGTGCCACTCCGCACCCCGCCATCTCCCCCCCACCCCGTGCCCACCACCTTCAGGTGTGCAGTGGGTACAGGACAACCACCCCAGGAAATCCCACGTCAGCAGTAGATGGCCATGCACACTGGTGGTTTGCTGTCCTGGCTCCATCGGCCCCGCCCACCACATCTTGGGCATGGAGGTCTGCTGTAAGCCACCTGGCAGCTCAGGGGCTGGCTCACCTTCTAAGGAGATAGGTACGAAAGGCACCTTCCTGGAATCAGCACCAGAAGGGACCACTCTGGCCCTTTGTCTGGTTGATGAGGAGGGGGGCTGCATTCCAGCTGACCCTGACTCCCTGATCAATGATGGGGCCCCTGCCCAATGCCAGGGCCTCCTCCTCTTCCCAGCAAAGCCAGGCAGAGTCCAGATAAGGCCTTGGGACCAGGAGGGAAAGTTGCCTATTGCCCCTTCCCAGGCTGTCCCCATTCATTTGGCTCCTCGGCCAGGGATGACACCTACTGCTTTGAGCACTGGGCGACCCTGCCGAGGCAAATGTCATTTATCATCTGCCCCGATCCCCTGAGTCTTGGTGAGGCTTGTGGCTACTCTCCTATTTGGTGGGGGACTCAATACATCCCCAGCGACTTGGGGGAGAAGGCAGCGCTAGGCGCTGACCTTGAAGCCTGTCTTGACCTTGAGAAGCCAGGCAGCTGGTAGGGGGAGATGAGACTGCTCACGGTAATGCATGTCTGTGCTTTGTTTCCAGAATGCAACTTTTGAAGCGATGCCCACTGCCTGTGGGCACCCTGGGGTGCGACCTTCCACATTCTGGGCACCCTCCCCACGATTCTCTGCTCGTCTCTGCTTCCCTAGCAGCCTGCTCCTGGCAACCTGAAAGCTAATGTCTGGGGCCTGATGTCTTAAGGAATAAAGATCCCATACTCAGCACGAAGACGAGTCTTCATTCCTGAGACTTTATGCTATTGTGTCTTATTTCTGCCAAGTCGCTCACTCCTATCTGAGCTTTTCACAGATGAGGCTGGCGGGAGGGGGTCGTAGCATCTCAGAGCAGAGGGTCTGCCCCCAGGCCTGGGGAGCAGGACAATGACCCCTCAGTAGCCGCATGGCTCATGAGGTGGTTGCACATGTCAGATCCAGCGCTGACATGACGGGGAGGGCAAGCAGCCTTGCACGCTGGCACTTCCTCGTGTAGGTTGAGAAAAGACATTTCAAACCTAAGTTTCAAGAAAGATAATGAATGTCATTCTGGGTGAAGAGAACAAATCAATAAATCACCTCACAAACTGGTACTTTTTTGTATTGATTTGCAAGTGTGGGAGATCAAAATTGGCCTCCCTGAAATATGTCTCTTTACCTTGATTATTTTCTCTGGCAGACATTTGACCTCCCCCAAACTGCCTAAAGAATTTAACATAGAAGACCTGTTCCAGGGGCCGGCCCGGTGGTGCAAGCGGTTAAGTGTGCGCGCTCCGCTGCAGCGGGCTGGGGTTCTCCAGTTCAGATCCTGGGCGCTCACTGACACACCGCTTGGCAAGCCATGTTGTGGTGGCGTCCCACATAAAGTGGAGGAAGATGGGCATGGATGTTAGCCCAGGGCCAGTCTTCCTCAGCAAAAAAAGAGGAGGATTGGCAGATG